AGACATATGTGCCTGCTTTGCACACTGTGCACAAGGCTTCCCATTTGTCTCGACCCGGTCTGAAAGCCGGGAAACTCTTTTGTAATTCGTCGGTAAACGAGCACTTGCGCTTCGGCATGTTGCTTGCGTATGACTGACAGTCACGTCGTCTACGTTCTGATTAATAGGGCTGACAGCATAGGGGCGGGGATTAGGCTACGTCACACGCAGCGCCGTGGGCAGTTCCCTAGTGCATGTAAATGTAATGGTCCAAAGAAGGTAATTTTAAAAACCAGGACATTTCCTCACTTTCTAAAAATAACCCGGGACACCCGGGACAGGACGTGAAATACGGACATGTCCCGGGAAATACGGACGTATGGTCACCCTACCTTTTATTACACATCAATTGCAGCATTTATACGGTTTGATAAACCATATTGTTGCCAGTAATGACGTGTGTGTTTCCTTTCCTAGAATTCCTTACTTAAGGTGTATGTGGCATGCTCTCTGATCCTTACATTGTGTTTGTGTGTGTTTGTGTGTCCATTCCAGTAAGTTCGAACTTGAAGTGTCTGTGCTTAAACATGTTCTTTGGCTGGATAACGATACAAGTGGGATTGGTATTTCTTCTACTGCAGCTGAGTTCGGTCCAAACAAGTTATACAACATTGTTCAGAGGTTGAGCTGACCCAAATACTTGCAGTCTTTGAGGCTTGCATCATAACATTGTCCAAAGGCTCAGACACTGTTGGAATGGGTTGTCTATTAATGTAGAACCTATGGTCTGATCGCTTACCTTTTTTATTGAAATGCTTCTTGATTTTGATGGATTGATCCTCATTCTGGCCCATGTTGTCTTCAAGTTTACTTAGCAGTCTTCTTCTGGTGCTGTTGTGGTCAGGGTTGTCTTGTCATCCATTAACGTCCTGATTGGTCTTAATCGGACCCCCGACTTTTGGTGCTCACCACCTTCTACCAATTTTTAAGCTCTAATAATCACGTCCATCACCATAGTGAACAATAGTGGGGAGATAGCGCAGCCAGCCATGATGCCCACGTCGAGACACTGCCAAATGGTGGTCAAATCTAGTTTTGTAAAGTAAATTCGCAGATCTTCAAAGTATCGCTTTAATCAAATTTGTGATGGGCTCTGGTACTTTGAAGAAGTCAAAAGTGTAGTGAAAACTCAGTTTCAATCTTGGTCCAAAAATTCAGTTAAATGAAGGAGAAGAACACTCAAAGGCAACAGAGTTTATTGTTGACAAAAAATTGTTGTTGCTTTGGATGGCCTTGGAAATGGGACTTTCCCTCTATCTTGCCCCGCCATGTCTCTTTTTCTTTTACACAGTTTTTCTTACTCTTGACACCATTATATCTGTCCAAACCGTTTACAATTTTTTAAAAGATATTTGTCTCTGATTTGACACCGTGAAGTTTTCTTTTTGTCAGTTTGCCTTTTTTTAAAAAAGATTATTATTTCTTAACACAAGTTATACATACACATCATACTGCTTGAAACACACTGAGTATATTGTTTGATTCGTCATTATTGTGTTAAACTTACTGTAATCATCAGTAAATTATGTTTCTCTTTATACTTCAACACATATTAGATTGCAGTGCAGCTTAAAGGTATATAGTGACATTCAAACTGTGACATGGCATAGTGATCAAAAATTGTCCCAGTGGACACTATTTGGTACTGACCCAAATACATTAGCGAGATCAAGCATATATATATGTATATTAACATGTTACGTTATTAAAGAGCACAAGTTATGACCTTGATATTTACAGTAAACAAAATTACACTACTTATGCATTGTCAAAAAAAAATCTACAGATTTGTCTACACATTTACAGATATAAATACTCTTTCAAATCTGAATACATATCTGAAAGTATTGTCTTTACACATCTAGAAATTCTATTACACACACCGATTCTGAATACATATTTTCAGATTGTTTTTGTATACATTTGCAAATCCTATTTGAGATTTACATATTTTAAAAACACACACACATGCTCTTATGTGTACTTTACCTTGTAACTGTTTAAATTGATGACTTACAACTGTTCATTTTTCTTCCTCTTTCAGGAAAGTGGCCTTGTGAACCTGCTACAAGGCATAACAGATGACAAAAATGTATTATTGTAAACAGATGAATGGACCATACCAACCAGTTGGACCACCCACCCAAACTGCACATGTTGCTTCTCCACTTACTTATCAAACAATGAGAAATCAGCAACCTGGGACAGCAAATATCTCTTATCAGTTCTGGACAGTGAACCCCACCGTACAGCCACCAGAAAATGGCCACGTCACCTTTGGAGATGGGACTCAGCCTAACAGACAGATGTCAAATTGCCAAACCTCAGCAGTTTCTCATCAGGCAGTTTCCGACCAGTCACCAGCTGAGTGGAATAATAAAGATCATGTTTTATTTAAAAAATACCCCAACTTGACAAGTTTACTAGGTGAAGGCACTACTTTGCCTTTTCAGAACTCTGCTCAGAATTCAAATATGCAGACTCCACCCAAAATGAAGACTCCATACTCCCAGCAAAACACGTCTGCATATTTGATCCAACCAGCTACATTTCATGGTAAACAATCAATGACACAAGTTACGCAAAATCATGGGGTCCAGGGAAGTTATCAAATTGTAAATAGCAAGCTGGATAATCTTCACCCTACATACAACATTTCAACAGCTTCCTTGGTTCCATGTAAACAGACTGCTTACAATCAGAATTACGGACAAACTGTCTCTCAGCAAAGATTTACCACTCAGGTCCTCCCAAAATACAGTGAAGCTATCTCTATGTCTCTCACACACAACAGCATTACAACAAATGCACCACCAAGGGGACAGATTTGGTTTGATTCAAGCATGAGTCAGAGAACTCAACAATACTCTGCTCAACTCAACTCAGCAGCCAACAATGCAAGAGAGGCCACTTGCAGTTCCAAAATATCTAATGAGCTCCTCCTAAAAGCGACTGCTGATGCTCAACAACTGCCCAACCACAATGGGGAAGCTATGAAAATTGCAGGAATTGCTGACAGTCTTCGTAAATCGTACACTGCTGACTCAAATGGTCATCATCCAGTGAATACTATTTCAAGGCAGGTAATCAGACAGCCTAGTCAGCTCGGCGAGGTCAGAATGGAGTGTAATCGAACATTGCAACCTGTGACATCCGCTGTTGAAAGATCTAACACAAATACCCCCCAGCATCGACAGCTCATTTCTGGACGATGTTGGACTCAGAGTGCTGTATCAAAAACACAACACATTGTTACCCCACCTCAGCAAAGCTCTGCACCATATATCTACTCTGTCACAACAGAAGATGGAAATAAGGAGAGGAATACATTTTTTCCAAGAAATAACAGCTTCTATGAAGGAAATATAGTTGAATCTTCAAGTGATGTATCCCACCATATGCAGCTGCCTGAGGGCATTTCACCAAAGAAAACTGAGACTCAATTGTCCATAAAAAACAATGATGAAATGCCCTGTTCAGTTGGAAAAAATGACAACTCCATTCACTCGTCTCCCAATCGCACAGGCACGAGAGCTGTGGCTGTTGTGCAACCACTGTCACAAGAAAACTACCAGGTTGTCAAAAAGCATAACTCTTCAGACACAATTAGGCTATTGGGAGAGTGTACTGCAAAATATACCTCTGAAATATTTACTTCTCCTGCTGTAGCACAAAACATTCAAGCTATAGATTTGAGTAAAGGGTTGAGTAAGCACCTACATGATGGACCTCAAGACAAGACACACACTCCATTATATGCACATGAACAAGGATCTGAACTATCTAGGTACCAAAGTGTTACACTAGCTGCTCAACCATCTGTTACCTCTGAGAGGCTAGAAGGGCAAAATCGTGATATGAACAAAGCTGGGGTGCCAGTAGATCAAAATACCTGTGATATTGACCTGTCCTCAATCCCAACAACTCAGTGGACTACTGGCAAATTAATTCATTTTACAATGAATTCTGAAAAAGCCCATATAGAGGCACAAGACGTCAAAAGGATGGATTTTGTGGAAGACGTGATGAGAGTCTATTGGAGTGACAAGATTGATATTCTCAAGAATAAGATCAGTAAAGGCTGGTACAAGAATTTAATCACTGATGTTAACAAATTCTGCATGGAACATGTGGCTAAGAATTCTGTCATCCTATCACAAGTAGAAGAAAGCTATTTGGAGCATCTCAAAAGCTACCATGTCCTCAAACATGATGAAATTTATTCAGAGCTGCCCTACCAATCATCATGGTTGAATGTCAATGAGCAGGTAGATGACATTGACAAAGAGTTTGGCTTCTCCTGGAGTATAAGGAATCTTATAAGCACACCTGAGATTGATAGCCAACCAGATGAATTTGGAGAAACAAGCGGCATGTCTGCACAAAGCGACGTGTCCAACGAAGCCGTTCCTCAAACAGAGCTCAGATCTGTTGACTTGGATGAAGAAAAACAAGCCTCCACTGTTGAAATTACATCAAGTCAAATGTCCTCTCCCGATGAGACAGACAATGCTCATTCCAGTGACCAACATTACGCCTTTGAGATACAAGTTTTGTCCCCAGAAGAAGCTAAAGTTATCTTTGGGCTAATTCAAAATAAGCTACCACAAAGTATGGACACGCAGGGTCAGCCAGACTCTGGAGCGAGTGTCCTGAAAAGCTCTGTTGGGGATGAGCTACCTGACGTTGGAGACACATTGAAGGACTCAAAACTGGAGAGTAAGAAGAAAACCTCTTTAATAGACGAATTTTGCTGCCTTGCAGGGTGGATAGAAAATTTTTGGGGGACAAACACTTCTTTGAAATGTGCGTGCAAGGAAAAACAAGGACATAAAGACAGTACAGAAAAGACACTTGATAAGGAGACGACAGCACAAAATAATCAAACGTCATCGATCAGATTGGACAAAAGAGACCATCAAATGAATACTGAAGAGAACATTGACAGTCAAGTTATACCATGTAGTCGGACTGATATATGCAATGATATCAGTCAAACTAGAGACCTAACTGAAGATGAGAAGAGACCATGCTCATTTTCTGCTAAGGAAACAAAGAACACGTCCATGGCAATCATAGATGAAAGCCAGTTAAGCACTATAGCTCGTACTGACAGTAAAGTTGAAGATGTCTCTTGCAGTGGAAGTGAAATTCCAAACCGGATCCGTGAAAATGGCATTTGGATATCAGACTCTGAGCAGAAATGTGTACAAGAACAGCTGAAGTCAGTAGGAAGTGGTCAGCCAAGCAATTCAGACAACAGCAAGGCCGTAAGCCATGTGTCAGAAACTGAGGAGGGCTGTCCACAAGCTCAGCTGACATCCACAGATGAAGCAGAGACCTCCTTGGAAACGAAAGGACCAACTCAAAGTGGACCAGCGGCTGGACTCCAGACCACCTCCAGTCTCTGTGAAAAACTTGAAACTGTTGAAAGAAAGAGGAAGACATTACAGAGTGATGAAGACATTTTTTCATTGCTGAAGAAATTCAAGAAACCTGTTAATCTGGATTCAGAGCCTGTCTTCAAGGGTGTAAAATGTAAAAAGGTTTCTGTTAATGCTGCTGAGAGGAAACCTTTGCACTCCAATAATAAAACAGTAGAACTGGTCCTATTTGGCTCAACGCGTCAAGGGGAGCTCAATTTAATTGGTGACAGAAAGAGCAATCGTGAATGTACAGTATCTCATGCAGGACACAGGCCTCCTAACGTTTTGTCTGTGGATCTCAATCCTTCGAAGAAAAAGTCAAGTGTTCCCACAACGGAATATTCTGTCAAAGGATGGATTCACGAAAAATGGAGGAGAAGTTATTTACCAACTACAATTAGGCACAGAAAAAAAATGAAAACACTACAGTGTACATTACCTCGGTCGAGTCCCATGAAAGCTGAAACAGCTTGCCCCTCCAAAACCAAAGAGCTGCCAGTTTCCTCTGAATTTAAGAGAAAAGGAAATACCAACTTCTGCCTGAAACAAAAGAACAGGCGACTCTTGTCTAACAGATTCAAACTTGGAGAGGAGAATACGAGGAAGGATGTGGGTAAACTGTCTGATCAAGAGAGAAGTGACAACCGAAGCCATACCACCACACCTACTAACTACGTCCTGAAGTTCAGTGTGTTACCCAACACTTTCAACTTTGCAGATGGACCCAATGGGAGAAAGGAAGCAACTGGTGACATGTCAGGTAAATAATAATATCAAGACTATTGAGTTTCTCCAATGTTGGCAATTTGTTAAGACGTTTGAGCAACACAAGTTGTGTAACTGGTCTATGAACACTGGTCATTAGAGGTCAAGCTACACACAATAGATGCACTACGGTTGAATGGCTTTATTGTTTGAATATTATTTTGCACATTATTCCTCTCATCACCACAGCTGCCAAAGTCTGTGGGCATTTGTGATGTGGAGTGACAGAACACCTCACTTAGGCTCTATCCACACTGTTGGCCATTAGTTTTAAAATGTATCACTGTTGCAATGTTTACGCCTGTGATCCAAACCACTCCAGAACTCCCAAGTCTGGAAACTGATGGCTGTAGTATGGATTGACAGAAAATGAGACGCACGATTCAATCACCCAGATTGACCGATTGGTTCTCATCAGTCAAGTCTTAACTGTCAGCGATGAATGTAAAACATTGTGTGATGTTTTCTGCCAGTAACAGTTCCACTTTGCTTGTTAGTCCCAGAAAGGACATTTTAATTTTTTACCATCACTGTTATGTTATTTGTGTGATTAATATATTCTTTCAGAGATGTTAAAGTGTCCTTTTGTTTATTCTGACTTTATTTGCTTCCAGGTAACTCAGATGTCACTGGAGGAAACAGCCCTGCCAAAACTATTACAGGGGGCAAGAGGTACCAAGTGCAGCTAAAGTACACATAAACAGTTCCTTTTTTATTTCTTTAATATTACATGGGAAGCAAATACAGTTTTTCCTAATTATTATGAATGCATTGCACCATAGGAACATGGTGACACAATCTTGAGAAGAAGTATTGTCTTGAGCTCGCCTCATGTTCCCAAGACCTCCAGCCTCTTCCAGGAGTTTCAATAGAAATACAAGCAGAAGGAATGTCCATCCAAAGAAAAATAATATGCAAGCAATAGTTTTGTGTACTACAGAGACAGATTTTTTAAATGTTCTCTGGGAAACTCTTCATTTGAAAAGTGTTTCATTTTGTGTCTCAGGTTGTGTACATGTATATTTTCTTTACAGTACCAAGCAAGTTATGACTGCACATGCCACACACAAAAGTCTTAGTTTATATTATGTGTCTTTCATTTGAGTTAGTTCTTAATGCTTCAGAAAAATATTGAATATAAAGTATCTGTAAAATGTATATTTGATTTTCGTATTTATCTATATTTTTCAAAAACATTGCCCTTTTTTTTTACATTTTTGTAATGTTTTTTTACATCTTGGTTCTTATCTAAACAAACAAAATGTCATTCTTTTTTATTTAGTTTTGCAGTTGTTTGTATTATTTTTGTAAATAAAGTATTTTGTCTACAGTTTTTGTGTTTCCGGCGTGTGGTGTTATAAATTGACAAGACTATCTGATCAGCAGTTTTACAATCAGTATAGAATAGAAGGAACGATCACAGGATCAACAAACGGAGACAAACAACTGTTCACATTCATATCTACAGTTAGATTCAGACTCTCTGATTAACCTAACCCTAATCTGCATATCTGTGACGTGTCCCAGTTCAAGACGTTTCTCACTGAGCACGCCAAGTGTCCCTGTGCTGCTCTGCTTTAATTCTTTCTACCAGAATTGCATACATCATGTCTCTTGACATGCTTACATTGTATGGCACTGGGCCAAGGTAAAGGTGGACGTGATGTTGTAGTAAAACTGCATCTAGCCTTTATGTGCATATATGCTTATACTGTGCATCTGTGTATGAAGAGCATCAAGCACTGTATGCAGCCCTGGGCGGATGTCAAGACAACACCATATATCCAACATTAGGAAATTGAATCATCAAATTCTGGATACTATGACTGCACTATTTATCAAGCATAATGAAATGTAATCATGAAAAGTAAACGTGTAAAGGTTGCTTTTGAAAATCTATATTTGGAATGTGGAAGTGTAATTAAGGAACACTCAAGACAAATGGTGTGTGAGGTCTTTCAGGTTTATGCTAAGCTATCTCTCAGAAGTGACCGTGTGGACAAAGGAGGGCTGTGCTATTAATGCAAATTGGTACATTAGAGGATTTTCCATTTTTGTGGCTGATTTTTGTAAAATGTGTTATTTGCAGAGCAAATAATGTGTCAGGGGCAATAAAAGTGCCAAAACAAGGTCACCCTCCTCATTATAAACCCTTTGAGCATTTAATGATGGATTTTGCTGAATTAGCTCCGTCAGAAGGTAAGAAATACTGCTTTGTAATAGTGTGCATGTTCAGCAAATGGGTTGTAGAGTTTGATACTTCTAAACAGGAAGCAGGAACAGTGGCGAGGATCCTGCTGAGGGAAATCTTTCCATGCTGGGGAATACCCAGACTCATCAGCAGTGACAATGGCTCTGGGTTTGCTAATCAGGCTCTTAGTTTTACAGTACAGTATTTGGGTTTTAACATTAATTCACATTGTTCGTATCACCCCCAGCTGAATCAGCATTATGCTTTACTAGGAATGTTTGCTCAAGTGTAATAACAAGGAAATGTTTGTGTACTATGAACTAGATGAACCGGTGAACTGTTCGATCAGATTCGTAGTGTCTGTGCACAGGAAAGAGAGATCAATGCCCGCTTCAACATGCAGGAGGTTGCCGGACGCGTGATCACAGATTGATAACGATGTAACTGAGGACAGCTGTGTGCTGTATAAAAGCCAGCTCGTCATCAGAGACATTGGTCAGACTCTTGAACCTACTTTGGCTTTAAGGTTGACTCGGTTGAGCAGTGATTCAATCATTCAGCGTAATTGTTTAATTCCTCCCCAGGGGATTAAATGCAAATTCCCACCAACATCTCCAACACCTTAGTGGAATGGTTATTTGTTGCGAATATATTTAGCATGTGGAAATGTAATAATTTTTTTAAAAAAGGACATCGCCTTATTCTAATTGGAGTCTGGAGACAGTGTTGTATATTTGGGTAGCGATGATGTGAAGATGATGAAGGAATCTCCGATGACACAGTCTTGATTGTATAAAAGGTTTATACAAAAAGTTCAGCATCAATACAAGCACTGCAGTCTGCCTGGGAGAGATCTGGGGCCAATGTGAATCTCTTCTCCCTAACAGCTTCAACTCCCCGTTTATATAGGAGAGTTGTTTTCGTGAATCTGAAGAAAACACATCTGGCTTTCCTCCGGCCTGTCCGGTAACAGGAAGGGAAAGACACCAGCTCAAATTTAGGGTGACAGTTAGAGCCGTGATCTAATGCCCTAATGTATACATTCAGTTTATCTCTGACAACCTAAACTTCGTCCGATTGTCCCAGGGCCTATGGGCCTCAGACCTAGAGATCAGCTTCCTTTAAAAAGAACACAATACATGGCATTTCAGACACAACAACAGGACCTTAGAAAATCAATAAGGCCTGAAACAGAGGCCTCCAAAACTCTAAGATTTATAATGGTGTCAAAGTTAGACCAACAGCCACTACTTTAATACCCCATTAGAATCGACCCCTTCTTTGCAACTAAAAACCAAATTGTAATGGACATTTTATAAGTTGTGTATGTGATGCAACATAAGCAGATGTTTGTGCGGAAGATTTACCAGATTGTTTATTTAAAAGGGAAACCTTAGGTTTACGATTATTGCTCAGAGACTTTCTGGATCTCACACCAGTGCTGGTCCACAGAGATGTGAAGGCAGCATGACTCCCCCACTGAAACGGAAACGAGGAGGGGTAATAAAGGCCAGTGAGGTATAACAACACAGAGCTCTCCTCCGCTCTTTGCTCATACGTACTCATTCAGAGAGATGTGTAGAGTCCTTCTGCAGATGCTGAATTAAACTTAAGAGTGTTTGACTTTGTCCTTGATTTACAGAAATTGCCACCACACTCATCAATTCCTTAACTCTGTGTCATCAGCCTAATTTTTGAGAATCCACAACATAACCTCTAAACAAACAGTACCGAAAAGAATGTATCACATTTGGAAAAGTGCAAATCAAATTAACAACTTTAAACAAGTTGATTTAAAAAAAATGTTTTATTATACCTTTAATATATATTATTCATGTTGTTCAGTCCTTTGCAAATACTTATATCAGAAATATTAATTACATTCATTTAAGAGAGTGCAGGAGATTCTCTGGAGGCCTCAGAGTTCAGGACTATAGCACCAAACGCTGCTGCAGGTCAGACCATAGTTTTCTTCTCTGACAGACTCCGGCAGCTCAAACTGAGCCAGTTGACGCAGAAGCCGACGGATGCTGTGTCCCTCAAACTGGGCTCTGCCGGGATCTCCGATCAGGACCTGGGTGCCGTGGGTTTTGATGCAACGCTTCAACCAGCAGTGAAGGCTGGTGGCCAGGGCCTCGTCGTAGAACATGTCACCCAGGAGGATCAGGTCAAAGCCCTCTGGTTCTGAACCAATCACGTCGTCTGTCGCACAAATGGGCGGGTCCAAGCCGTTCAGCTCGCAGTTCATGTGAAACGCAACGGCTGCAACTGTCACACAAACCGACATATTCATTTCTTCATTTACATCAGTTTGTCAAGTATTAAGCATTATCATATTAACATTAATGAGTCACGAGCAACAATTTCAGATTAAATAGCTGCATAAACATGTTTTATACACATCAACAATCTTTGTTTTTATGACTTCAAATCTCAGATACCAAATATTGTTGTAGAAAACCTTTGAAAGCATCTGATACTGTGTGATCATCTCCAGTGAATTCTTTTGACCAACTCTTGAGACTCCAGTAATAGTGAAGTATACGTGTTGGAAAAGAAGTCTAGACTCAGTATCTGGCCCAGAGCTGGACATTTTTTTATCCCTAACAATATAAGAAAATAAATCTGTGAGACAGAAATTATATTCAGTTGAATTGTTTCTGTATTTGTTGACTTCATTATAAGGCCAGATTATAAACTTTAGAAGTTGTCCATTTGTTTGTTTATTTATTTTTCAGCAGGATAACTTAAAACTACTATCACAACTTGGTGGAAGGAAGTGACATGGACAGAGACATAACCTGAACCAGAACAAAGTAACAAATCTAGAATTCCTTTTCCCAGGGAGTAATCCATGGAATTTGATAATAAAAACCAGGCACACAAGTCTCCTAGTTTTGGAATTTAAATTATTTCAATATCTGCAGCACTAAAGTGTAATGTTAATTATTAAATTGCATTAAGATTAAATTAAATTATCATGTTGCCTTACCTTGTAAATGGGCACCGGGATAAACCCGGTATTAACACACGTATTGTTTCAAACTGTGCTCACACGAGGCATATTCATGATTCATGTTCAATAAGAGAACCAACTTTGTCTCCCAAAACAATAAAACAGAACATGATTCATTTGTCTCCATAATAAAATGCTTGAGAATAAAAAGAAATGAAAGATCTTTCCTGGAAAGTGTGAATTCAAATTCAAACGGAATAAATATTGATGCATACCGGGGTCAATGTCATTAGCGACAACATGAGCAGCACCACAGAGTTTTGCAGCGATGGAAGAGGCTCCACAGCCGCTCCCTACGTCCAGGATCTTCTTACCCAGACACACTCCAGGGTTGTCTAAGAGATACCTGAGGGGACGAGGCAAAACATTAGTGTGACCTTTTCTCACTGTGAGGCACAAAAAAACTCATGCACGCTTTTATTTTTAGTTATCCTACTATCTGGTCTAACCAAGCATGAGTGCTGACCAGGACCAGAAAAAGAGACCTAACGCTGGCTGTCAGTTTCTGTATTAGTTTTAAGATTTGTTTGAAATATTTCTTGTGGTCTCGTGCCAGCTCATATGTCTCACATGTATGAACAAGAATGTGGCCTTTGGTTGGTTCGGTCTGCTGGAGGACCTGAGAGCAGCAGGTGCTGTGCAATAAAGTGATCGTCTGTGTGGTGGAACCCTGAAAATAAAGGTGATGACATCAAGTTTGTCTTTTGAGAGTATTAACAAAGCATGTGGTAAAACCATGTGTTTGTGTACAGAGGGCAGGAGGGTCTGTATGCAGCCTGGGGCAAGGTCCAAGTTAACAACGCTCACAGGGAAAGTCTCCATCAGAGTAAGAGTCAGGGTCATTAACTGCAAGGCAGGCTAATAATATTACAATTGACTGTGTGAGATACTGAGGAGATGACAATGGCCCCCTGGCCCATGTAAAACAGATTTCAGGTTGCAGCTGTACACTTTCACTTGACAGCACCATATAGCTAGCATAAAAAGTT